TTGGGGCTGGGGGCACTGGTTGGCGCTGCAACTTACCGTGACCCCGGCGTCGTTTCCCCGGTCACAGACACGGGAAATGTGCCCGTCTCGGCCGCACGTATAGCACCGTGCGCGCCGATGGAGACACGCGACACGCAGATGCTGCTCGCTACCGCAGGCAAAACAGGCGCGCCGGCCGCGCCCCTGGCGGCCCTCGTCCGGCCGACCGTCCCGTGCGCGTGCCATCCCCGCTCGCGCCGGTCCCCGCTCCCGAGCGGCGGGCTGAGCCGCCCGCGCGACCTGAAGCTCCAGCTGCTCCAGCCGCTGAAGTACTTTCTCCAGCATCTCATTCCCACCAGCTTGACTGACCTGACGCACCGGGGCCCCATCCTGAACCGAGACGCGCTCACTACGAATGATATTGCCCACTTTCTCCACAGCTTTTGGGAAGGTTTCGATACCGGTCGAAATTATCTGCTGCTTATACTCTCTCGGCAGAGCCGTGAGGAAAGAGTGGAAGAGCACCTGATCGCACACACTCCCTGGGAACGCTTCAGCCACTAGCGCACGCAGTCGGATGACAAACGCGTCAAGAGAGGTCGACGGGTCAAACTTTAACTGCTGAAGCTGACTATGAGCATCTAGCGCGCACGGTTTGATGAACAAGTGGCGGAGAGCACTAGCAGCCCGGCTGAACGTGTCCCTCTCCTCCCGTGGGAGGGCCTCAAAAGCATCCCGTGCGAACCCGGTCAAGCACAGCGGCAGGAAGCGCAGCTTGAACTCATCATCCAAATTGTGAAAAGTGTAGAAAGTGTCCAGATCCGCCAAAAATCTGTCACAGGCTGAGCCACTCTCCCCGGCGAACTTTGGCGCCTCAAACGAAAATCCATCGATCGCCCCGCGGCGCACGTCCCCAGATCCACTCTGCTCCCAGAGATTCATTTTACCAAATTTAGACAGTACCTATCTTTCTACACATCACAAACAAAATACATAGGTACACTACACAATAGACACAACACAATCGATTAATGCACTTATCTTATAGCCGTCTGTCGATGAAGATCCTCGCCGTCTGCCCATCCATTGGCCCGCCAGGCCGTCGGGCCGTCAGGCAGCCGGCAGAAGCGGCCGCGGCGATCAGCTGACGCGCAGCCGGCCGAGCGACGAGCAGCGTCACGTGACTGCTGACGTCACAGCAGCTCTGGGCCGAAGCCGGCGGCCGAGGAGCGGCGGCTGCAACTTGAAGGCGACGAAGAAGACTGCGACAGCGGTCGCCACGAGCGACGGCGACGGCGGACGCACTCGGAGGCGATCATCGCAATCACAAGGACCGCCACGATGGACGGCGGCGACGACCGAACTTCAAACGGTTACTTCAGTCGCCACGGGTCGCCGCGACTGACCGCGGCGACGAACGAAGAACTTGAAATCTTGAAAGAAATCTTGCGACAGCAGGTGGGCGGCAAGCCAGCCAGATCAAGCCAGCCACTGCCCGCTAACACCGAAGACTAAGGAGGACCAGCTGGCCACTCACTTAACCCGCGCCCAGATGGGGTCTGCCGAGCAACGCGGTCTGATGGGGGGGGGGGCCATTTTGGCCCCCCCCCCTCAGATCTCGAGAACCACGCAACATAGCGACAAGCGGTAAACGGTGTTGGATAGTCCCAGCGGGGAACTACCTTGTGACCCAATTTCATTGACCTCGGTCAAACCGATGACGTCACAGGTCAGGTCAAAGGTCGAATTTTCACCGTTTACAGGCATTTCAAGAAATGCGTTGTAAAATCGAGTAAAATGCATTTCATTGAAAATCATCGATGGAGAAATGTTCTTCAAACACATATTTTGCTATTTGAGGTCACTGATACCAGGTCAGGTCACAGAGGTCAGGTCACTGGGGGGGGGGGGGGGTCACAATATGAAAGTGTCGTGTGATACATGTTTTATGGTCCATTTTACATGACAAATGCGATTATGTGGGTCAGACAGACTTAAGGGCCAGCTTAGGTCACGTTTTGGTCAAGGTCAGGTCAAGGTCAGGTCAAATTAGGTCAAATTTCAAAGTTGATATTTTTGCATAAAATGGGTATCGATTCGATGCAGCTCGTCACGGGGAGTTCAATGGTGGTCTCCGTTTTGCGCTACGAGGTCTAGAATTGCTAAAAATTGAGTTCAAAAATTTGACGTCATCAATTTTTAACAGTTTTTTCGCTATAACTTGGCCAAAAAAAGAGGTATCGATCTAAAATTTGGTATGTATATCGAAGAACGCAGGGACTATCACATATATTCCGGTTTTTTCGAAATTCGAAAATTTTTTGAAAATTTTTTGAGTTTTTCTAAAAAAATCAATTTTTTTTGATTTTGGGGGGTCAAAATCCCAAAATTTCGAAAATCCGAGATAGCAGTTTTGTAGCGCCGTCTTTTCTCTACACAACCACATAAAGAACTTTAAAATTGCTTGTTAACTGTAGAATTGGTGAGCGTTTCAAGATGTCATGTTTTTTGCTCATTTTTGCTCGAACATGACCTCAGTTTGACCTCAATAACTCCTGACCTGAGGTAACCTGTGACTTGAAATTTTGTGTGAAGGTGTCAAATTGATGCCCGGTAAGGTACCCAAAATTTGGCGGCGCTGCGCGCCGCCGTTTTCTCGCTATTTAAGAAAAACCACAGGGGGGGGGGCAAAATGCCCCCCCCCCATCAGGGCGCGGGTTAACAGTTCAACTCGTTGAGCCAGCGCATGGCTAACGGAACGGCCGCTCACCTCTCGTCGAGCCAGCGGAGCTCACCGACAAGCCGCTCCAACAAACAGCGGCAGAGGCTGCGCACTGAGACACCAGACTGCACTGCTTCACCATAGTTCTGGGCGGCACAAGTCACCGACAGCCTCGACTCAGGCACAAAATCATGGCCCAGGCGGGACTAGACACGAAAACTCACAGTTCCGAGTTCACCGGATGCACTCGCGAGGTAGGCCAGGCCCAGGGCCGAGCGCCGAGCGGACCAGTCGAGAACGTCTTCATCTTCAGTTCGTTCTTGCCTATTGGTAAGTAGGTAACTTCTTAAATCAAGTCATAATCGAAAGAGCTAAGCTCGGTAACCGCTGCCACCAAATGTAGACATGGCCGTGATAGACTTTATGCAAAACATTAGTCACATTGTATCGGCAAGCAAGACCAGTTCCAAGCCAAAGTCAAAGTTCGGTTCAAGTTCCAATTCCAAGCGTAGCCCCCCGCTCTCCAGACCGAATCCCCCGTCCATCACAATGACCTTCAGACGACCTTTCGTCCGAGAAGGTTCCAGGAGAAAACCTGAGAAAACCCAATCGGCGGCTGCCCTGGCGTCGCAGCGCCAGCCAATCAGCAGCCGCCGTCACTGCCACAGCCGTCGCCGCAGAGCACGGCAAATAGCCCACGGCGCGTGAACTGTAGCCGCGGGCGCTCGCAGCGGCAGAGTTTCACTTCCGACTCTGACTCAGTCGGTCTCGGAGCGGCAGTCCATTCATTGGCGGCAGTTCATTCATTGCCAACATATAGCCGCCCGAGCAATAGGCGGCGGCACAGGAGAAGGAGCCCTCCTACACTTTAATTTTAAAGAAATCCGAAAACCCAAAAACCCGCAACCCGCATGCGAGTTCCAGTGTGGGGCAGCCATTATCCATGGCTTAGTGCGGATCCGCCGATCGATGAACAGAACGATGATGGATGACCACCGGACGTCCTAATGAGTCCTATTCCGTCCTCCGCAAAAGTCATATCCACCTCTTGATTGTGTCAACAAACCAACCAATGACAGCACAGAACGAGCTGTGAAAGGCAATCTGTGTAGCACCGCTTCAATGGCCGGAGTTTCGATTTCTTTGGCGTCGAACCGCCGTCTCAGTTACACGTGTACGCAATTGTTATAATTCACGTTTTCATAGCTCAGCGTGGACCATTAGTTCGTTGGACATGGTTGAATGAACGATGATGGATGACCAAAAGGTGTCTTGTCCCGTCCACATCTCCGTGCTCTGTTTCAATCTCCTGCCCACCCCTAGAGCGCACCCAAAAGCAAACCAGATAGCCCGACGGACTGATAAGCAATCTCTGTGCAACAGGCGCTGCAAGTCATTCGTCGCCGAGCCGCCGTCTTAGTCACACGGGAATGCGAAAGTGCTCTTGTTCGTGGCTGAATGCAGCTACCTATTATGGGGATTATCTCCTTAGTGATCTCATTTCTGATTGTGTTGACCGTCGGCCGGCATGTGGTCTCCGCCATTGACTATCAATATTTTATGTTGAATGCTTTTAAATGTCCGGTGAAGTGTTATCATGGACAGCCTTTTAAACAGGTGAGACCTTACCTGTTTGCACTTCTGTTCCTGTATTATTATTTGGAGTCCGATTGACGAAAAATCATTTATTCATTTATTCATTCATTTATTCTTTCACTCTTTCATCAGTCGTTCATTCAATACCTATTTTTTTTTTGTATTCATTCCCCCATGAATCAGTGTGTGGTCTCTGTCTTACCTTTTCACCAAGCAACGCATCCGCAATCATTGGAAGGCCAAACAGTATCATAGTTTTTTTTCTCGCGTGAGTTTTAAACACAGTGTTAGACCTACTGTAGCATCGTTCACTGAACAGTGAACAAGTCCTTACTTCTCTCTTACCCACGTTCAGGGGTGGATAATTGTGCCGAGTTGGGGTAGCACGAGTCTTCCCAATTCCGCGCCAGCTTGGCTTTGGAGCCGCACCAGACGGCGGAGGTCAAGGTCACCGTTAGGGCGGCGGCGGATTTGCTGCGCCCGTGCTGCGCCCGTTGCTGCGCCCCCAACTCGGCATTCGGCATATTTCTCCACCCCTGCCCACGTTATCGTCCTTATACACTAATTATTTCAGTATATTCTTTCAGGAAGTGTTATCATTTCTTCCTCTTCCCTGTGTGCCTAGCTACTTATTACATCCCTACTGCATTATTCTTTTAACTCTTAGCTTATTCTCCCCTCTCTCTCTCTCTCCTTTTCTCAGGCACCAGCGTGCGGAATGTGCACGCGTTCCAGGTGCTGCAGACGGTGTTCCTGCGGGCAACCTCCTCCTCCCTCTGCTGTGTCATCCTGGACACCATCTCCAGCGTGTACCACGCCGACCGAGCCAACTACTTCATACTGGAGAGCCAGCACACCATATCACAGTTCGCCGAGAAGATACATCAGAAACCCAAAGAGGCACAGGTGGGTACTTTGAGGGAGAATGGGGGTGGAAGTGGGGATGGTTTTGGGGATATAAGGAATTAAGGAGGTGAGTTTGAAGAGGGACCACTAGAGCATTGATAAAACACTCTTTTCGTCATGTGACTGAGATCCAGTGATATTTATATCTGACCAAAATAAAGAAAAATATAGTTGAAGATCTTCCATCCTCGCGCCGGCGTATGGGTGATTGTTTTCTCCGTCTTTTGTACAGAGCTACCTGGCTGATTCGATTGTCCCTTCTCCCTATGGCAGGACAAGTTTTTCCAGCTCCTGGAGCTGGTGGTATTCCAGCTGAACTACGTACCGGTCAAAGAGCTCATCTCCTGCAGTATTCTGCTCAAACAGCACTGCTCGGTAGACTGCAGCCTGCGCTGCATGGAGTCCCTCCTCAGCATTCTCAGGTGAGAACCGAGGGGGTTCTCCTGCTGTGTATGGAGTCGCTGCTTAACATCTGCAGGTGAGAACCGTGGGAGTTCTCAGCCTGCGCTGCATGGAGTCGCTGCTGAGCATTCTCAGGTGATAACTGTGGGAGGTCTCAGTATGCTACTTAGCATTCGCTGTGGAGAACTGTAGGAGTTCTCAGCCTGCGCTGCATGGAATCTTTGCTCAGCATTCTCAGGTGAGAACCGAGGGAGTTCTCAGCACTCTTGAGACATCTGTGTATGAAGTCACTGCTCAGTATTCTCAGGTGAGAGCTGTGAGAGGTCTCATGTGGTGTATGGAGTCCCTGCTCAGCATTCTCAGATGAGGACTGTGGGATCTCTCGAATTCTCAGGTGAGAACGGGGCAGCAGTTCTCAGCATTCTTGAGAACGTGTGTGTAGAGTCCTTGCTCAGCATTCTCAGGTGAGCAGCGTGGAAGTTCTCAAACGGTTTATGGAGTCGCTGCCAAACATTCTCAGGTGAGAAGCGTGGCAGTTCTCAAACGGTTTATGAGTCGGCGCTCGGGTATTCTTAGGTGAGAGCTGTGGGATGTGTTAGTCGAGACTTACATTGAAACCTATGTGTGGAGTCTCTGCCCAGCATTCTCGCGTAATAATTGTGGAAGTTTTCATGACAATTTTCATCATGTGGCGTAATGGAGTCGTTGCCTCTAGCACTCTCAGGTGATAGAAGAACCATGGCAAGTCTCAGCACTGACGAGCTGACATCCGTGTTTGGCGTCATCTCTACTGTTCTCACACTCTGTAGCTTCCAACCAACATCGCCACCACTCTATTCTGACACCCCCGTGACGTCTGTGTGCTGCAGGTTCAGCCCCCTCTTCAAGGACGTGTACCGCGAAGTGGGCATTCTGGAGGTGCTGGTGCAGTGTCTGGCGCGGTACGCCGACATTCTCAAGTCGAGAAGGCAGACGGAAGAGGATGGAGACGGTAAGGAAGACCAGGGAGACAGGAGAGGGGATAGAGTAGCTGATAATGGGTAGCTAAGGTCGGGGACATTGGGATATAAGACTGAAAGGGATGAGGAAGGGATGCAGCGTTATAGGGCTGGAGGAGAGGGTACAGGAAGGAGTTCTTGAAATCACGACGTGCCAAACATGCACACAAAGGACGTTGGTTGCTAAGTATCTTGACACTTGAACAGGCTGATATGGACAGAGCTCGCCTTATTTACTCGAGATTGGCTGATAAGTTGAATTCCGACCCTGCCTAGATAGAACGGGTGGATGCAATATTTGAACCCCAAAAATTGATACATAAATTAGCGGCATGTAACATTACAGTTGCCTTGTAACTCCTATCTCCCAACCACAAACATTCTCGATAAACACGCCACTGACTGTCCCCCTTCCCCTACCCCTGTCTCGGCCAGAGTACGACCTGCCGGGCCCGCAGTCGGCGCTGGGCCGTCGCACCATGGAGACCTTCACCGTACTGCTGGCCGGCAGCGCCGCCAACGCGGCCGTCTTCCGAGAGTCGGGCGGATCGCAGCGCGTGCACGAGATGCTGGTGTATCCTGACTGTTCGCAACAGGCGCTCGGTAAGAGCGGGATTGGGGGAGGGGGAGCGGATGCGAATCGCTGTCCGGTACCTTACATCGTTGTTCGTAAATCGTTGCATTGCTGCTAACTTACATAGTGTATGTTGCATCGTACGAGTATTGTATCGTTGTTTTACATAGTTTACCGTTACATCATACAAACATACGCATTTTGCAAATCGTTAACCGCATCGAGAAACTTGTTTCGCCCATTCGTCGCTAATCGCTGGCGTCTCGTCTCTCCTCAGGCATTCTGCAGCAGCTGATGCTATGTGCCGGCGGTGAGAGCGAGATGGGCAGCCTCCTAGCACTCATGGAGAACGCATCGTTCTCTCAGATCGGTCTCAAGATCGATATCCTCAAGGTATGTGTCGAGAGAAAATGAGGGCATCGTAGTTTTGTTCATCAGCTGTTCTCATTATTTTTTCGTATGTAACTCTTGCATCACTTCAACCCTGAACGTGAGATTATCGTGTTTATGTTTGTGTTTATGAAGTTTTTAACTTACAAGGACATGCAATGCCGCATAGCTGCTAAGAAATGGACGCACAACCCGCTTTCTACGCGCCGTATATCCCCAACAAAGAACATCGACTGCAGCTTGCTATGTTAACCCGTGCACCGACGGGGGTCTGCGCCAACTTCGCACCGACGGGGGGGGGGGGCGGATGACCGCCCCCCTGAGAACTCGAGAACGAAGCAAGATAGCGGCAAGCGGTAAACGGCAAGGGATACGCACGGACAAGGTCTACAATTTTTACTTGGTCATTTTAGGTCAGGTCAAAGATGACGTCACAGGGGTCAAAAGTCAAAATGGCGGCGCTAGGTATAGGGAGAGTTTTTTCTCGAATAACCTTCGAACTAGTCAATATAGGAACAAACTAAGGGCATCATCGTGATCCTCTCGTCAATCCGCATCGAATGATATATATGTTGACCTCGAAAGGTCAAGGTCAAAGGTTGACCTCAGGTCACGTGACCTCGAGGTCATCGTGTATCTCATTCGATGCACCTTGACGAGCTGAACACAATGAGACCATCCGCGCGGCTGTATCTTGTTCCTGTACGGAGTTATTGTCAAAAAACCGCTGGTGACCTTTGATGACGTCACATGACCTTACAGCTGCCCAACAGCAAAACAGACCTCAAGGTAGTGAAGGTTGATCGTATATGAGGTCATGTATGGTTTATGGGGCCATTCCGACCCGTTTTAGTGGTAAAAACAGGGAGTTGGTTTTTCCCCCATTGACTTATAATGGGGAGGTCGAGAAATTGACCTGACCTTAGGTCATCGATATCAAAATTCCGAGATATACAAATTGTAGCTACTAATGACCTTATAGCATCCTGCGACTTTCAAAGGCCTCCGACATCTACTGTAGCTCTGGCACGGTGACAAAGTTGCAAAAAAGTAACTTGAGGTTGGGTCATTCAAAGTGACCTGGTGACCTGACCTTAAAAGTTAGGAGGTTCAAACTTGCACACCATGTGTAAAATTGATGAGAGAATAGTCGTACCAAATTTTGCGGCGCTACGCGCCGCGGTCTTCCCGCTATTCGCGAAAAACCTCAGGGGGGGGGGGGCGGATATCCGCCCCCCGTCGGTGCGCGTGTTAATATGTAATTGTATTGCTAACATCGCACATCACCCCTCCCCCGCAGTGCGTGCTGGCGTGTCTGCGCGACTCGCACCGCAGTCGGACAATGTTTCGGCGCGTCGGAGGCTTTGTATACGTCATGGCAGTGCTCGTATCGCTCGAGGGCTGTATGGCAGAGACGCCGGAGCCGCCGTGGGACTCTGTGCCGCGCCAGACCATGCTGAGTTTGGTGCACGGAGCGTTCAACACTCTGACCATGGCCATGAGATACGAGCCGGCCAACGCCAAGTTCTTCCAGCTGGAGGTGGGTGCAGAGTGGGGCAGTGCTCGTGACGGATTTTTGTCAAGGTGGAGGTAAATGCGGGATAGCTGAGGAACGATGAATCAATACCGTGCATAGTAACGTGCTATTTAATCTTTTCAGCGAGACATTTGAAAGTGTTACTAGGCCTCGCGTTGAAGTTGTGTTTTGTACACCGAACTGTAATACTCTAATGCTCTTGGTGCAATGTGTCTGACATTTCGATTGTCAGTCTCAATATCTGCCATCTGATTGCCTTTCTCTCTTCCAACTATTGCATGCCTCCCAATTTATCGTTCCTGACTCCGCCCCTGTCGAATTATACAACCTTTCTATCCGCGCCTGTCTTCGTCTATGTCATCCTCCCTGTTCCCATGCCTGACTCCGCCTTTGCTGACTGCCATCGTCCCTTTTTTCATGCCTGGCACCGCCTCTGCCATGACCCTTCCCCTGACCTTTGCCCCGCCCTCCCCCAGATCTGCAGTACCAGCCTCCTGGACACGGTGCGCCTCCTGGGCTGTTTTGGAGGCGGCTATCAACTGGCCCCCATCGATTTCTCCTATGAACACACCGAGGAGCATACCTTCCAGAGTATCTTCGCGTCTGACGTCACTTCCGGAAGGTAGGCGGATGTGACGTCATTGGTGCCGTGGGAGGTATGACGGGCGGGTCGGAGTGAGGCAGGACGAGGATGATGGCGGGCACTATCATGCTATATCAGTAGCTTAGTCAAACTGAGTACACTGTGATTTCGAAGACTTGTCAAGAGGGACTCATGATCACTGTGTGTATTGGACTTTCATATCCATCATAACATTTCCCAAAGCGATATTCATTGAAATCCGATTGTAGCAGCAAGACTGCGTAAATTGTGCCCGAGCTCATGAGGCGGACTGTGCCGCGCCGGCCGGTATATGCGGTGCGGTCCAGCAGCGCTCTGTAACACCCCGTATTCCGTTTCATCCCACAGCCTGCCGCCAAACGTCCCCATCAGTCTGAGCTACGCCTGCCTGACACTGCGACTTCTCTACGATATGGCGCTGGACAGCTTCGACAAGCCGGCCATGGCGGCTGCTGTGTCCTCGGGAGGAGCGAGGCGGCAGGAGGAACAACAGGTAAATGGGGGAGGAAGGAGAGGGAGGGTTCTGCCGTCGGGAGGAAAAAAGCCGTAAGTCGCATTTTTATCGATTTTTCGTTTTTGATATCGTTGGAAAGCTCTTTTCATGATGCGTTTAATGGTACTGCTCAAACGTGTGTACACTCAAAAATGAAAATATTATATATAATATAAAAATTCAAAAACGGATTTGTTACATCAGGGATAGCAAAACACGCAGGAAGAAAGCCGTATCCTTAAATTCGGCAGATGCGGCATTTATACAAAATTTCAAACAAAGAATGTGGAACTGATAAGTCGGGAAGAAAGCCGTATCTTGTAGTTACGGCTTTTATTTGATGGTGGCCTGTGAAATATGAGCCGAATCGTTGGTCCAGGCAGTTTGGAAGAAAGCCGTATCTACTCATTTAGCATGGCTTCGGCATATCCTGGACGGAACAGTTGAACATTTACACAAACATGCTACGTGATCGTAGCAATACGTGACCATTTATAGGGGAATTTTGATTGAAATAAAATAGGGAGTGAACTTGAGAAGTTTGAAGCCAACAGAACTTTGCCAGCTCGGTGGTGTCAGCAGGGTGCCGGGCATTCAGTATTTTGATGTGCTAACCAGCCGGGAGCGCCAGTATAATCCGACCGTTCTTTTCCAAACTTCGTTTAAAATTCCAATAAAAAATATCCGACGTACTGCCTCCCCCATGATTAATTTGGCCTCCCTGTTCCCACCCCGCCCCACAACCAAAATAGCATCATGTTAAGTTCGACATCATAGACAATAGACATGCAGCTCGTACTCGTAGCCGGCACGCTTAGTACGACGACCTACAATCTTTGTCGTAAAACCGTTGAAGATATAGTTGAATACCGTGAAAGGTCGATTGCTATTGCCAACCTCGTCACATTCATTGTGATAATTGTGACCACGCCCATGTATCTTTGTGACCGTCATCCCCTGTCACTTCCATTCCTGGTCAATGACTTTACCGTCTTCTTTCCGGCTCCCTCATACCCATGATGCTCAATCGTATTGGAAATTTAGGCTACCTTGTAGCACCCACACAAGCCCAACATTGTCATATTCTACGGGCAGCTGCCCAGAGCCTACCAGCACAGCTGTGGCCGGTGGAGGATGCAGCAAGGCGTACTGAATAGCCCTCTGCTCTGTTGCAGTAGGCGCTATAATCAGAGCCCTGAGAATACGAGTGCACATTGGGGGGCCTTTTGAGGGTGCGCCCTCTAAAGGGTGTTCCCGCAGACGTGTGGAGCTCTCAGCAGTCTAGCGATCTCCGACAATGAGGCGGCATTTACTTGCTTACACCCTCAGCCGCGGCACAGTGCTGTCGCCCTAGATGTTTCGCACAGGCTTTGTAGATGCAGTTTCTTTACGGGAATTCCTGAAGTTCTTACACCATCCTCTATTTTGGTTTAGGAGCCGGGCGGTTACGTGCTTGTAGCTGCGCACCACGTGACTTAACAGCGTCCCTTTTCCGGGAACTTTGTGTCCAGCTAATCAGCAACATTCACACTAATCGTCTCTTGCCCCCTTGAAGTGCTTTTAGGTCTGCAGATCGACGATGGGAAACTAAACTATCTCGGTTCTCTCGACATTGTCGCCGTGGCTCCGGCGCAGCGGCAGACCGGCACACCCATCTCTCCGAATATATCGGTGGCTCAGAATTAACTCTGGAGTCCAGTGTAATCGAAAATTGAAGCACCGTACAAAGACAGCATTCGTGATTCCCCTTGTCGGTTCCAGGCACGTAGCCAGGATTTTGCTCAGGGAGGGGCCACAGGTCGCGGCCTAGTGTCGTGCCCCTCCAGAAAAGGAAAACTCCTCGGATTTGGCCCACTATCTTTTGGGGTGTGGTGCAGCTGTGGTTATTTTTTTAAGTTTTATTTTATTTTTCGCCTTTAGAGGGGGGCATGGCCCCTGTGCCCCCCCCCCCTTGGCTACGTCCCTGGTCGGTTGGTCAAGCTGTCTTTTGATGGCACCCTGCGCAATCAGAATCCAAGAGCCTAAAGTTACGACAATAATGCGATTATGCATGGATGATGTAGTTTAAAATGGGTATCATGTTTGTTTTTGTATTGAACGTTCAATTAAATATCCATACTTGAGAGCTGAAGCAGTGGGACGGAACCAGCAGCGGAACTGCTTTAGTACTTTTATGAACCAATATGCAGTGTCAATACCATGCACCGATGATACTGCTTTTTGACGACAATATGATTAAACAACAATGGCGATACGGCTTTATTCCCGATCGGTTAACCAATGTATCAGACATACGGCTTTTTTCATGACAGTATTGTTCAGGTGTCTCGTACGATGCGGCTTTCTTCCACGATACGGCTTTTTTCGTGAAAGAAAGATTCCGCAAACTCGGGGTTGAATTGGAAGTAAAAAAGTTTTTCGCCTTTTGCTTTTAGGTTAAAATAATTTCCCTTTTATAACCACTTTCATTGGATGTAAAATTTCTTTCCGATCACTGCAGTATGTTTTGTTTCGTTATTGAGCAAAGTTAACGAATTTTATAACAAAAAACGCGTTTTTGCCTCTCCTGAACAATTTTCAATTAGAAAAAGTGCCCCAGATACGGCTTTTTTCCTCCCGACGGCAGGGTTGTTGATACCGATATAAACGGCGCAAAATTAACAGAGTGTGACATGTTTGTGGGGTGAAAGAACAGGTAATTGTGGAAGGGGAGGAGTCATGGGCTTGACACTGACACATTCTGGTGGTTGAGATAGAATGAACATTGAGCATCGTTTGTTTATTTGTTTTGTTGGGTTAAGCCCTTTCGGTCCTTTGAAACCATTGCAGAGCTGGGAGGATGATAGGAATGGGGGGGGGGGGTGGCATTGGTCTGAGCACTAATTCGGTAATAATGTCGATAGTATACATTTTTACGCAGAGTCCAAGGGTCTGGCAGACCGAATAGGCAATACGTCAGTCGATCGGCTAAGGCGTCACTCGTTCCAAGTGATCGTTCAACCTTCGTTGGCATGCTGCTCTACTGTGCATATAAGCTATCAATGCAGTCGACTTGTTCAAATATTGATTTGGACGCCAAGCTCCGCACCCGTGCCTGGTACGGGTGCAAGTGCCGGTCTTATCAGATAAGACGCCGTGCCACTATCGTTCCTTAAAACATTCCATTAACATTGCTCGCCCTTTACCCCGACACTCGTGTTCCCTGCCATTATTCTGTTGCCGCTCACTTCCCGTCCGACTCCATCGGCCATCGACTCCATTCGACTCCATTCGACTCCATTCTGTCGCCGTCCGACTCCATCGGTGACTCCATTGAGACTTGCGAGCCCGAAATCCCAGCCCTGAACCCCCTCCGAGGCATTTAAATAATACACCTCTGAACCCCCTGAACTCTTTGACTCCTAGAACCATCTGCGCTTAGAAGTCTGACCTCCCATGAATTATATGAACCGTCTGACCCCTCGAACTCCTCTGACCCCGCCCGCAGGAGTCGGCCGGTACGGGGAAGCGTCGCGCGCCGACCGGTCTGAACCTGTCCCCGCCGCCCCCGGAGCCGATGATAGTCCACGCCGGCGTGGTGGTGGAGCTGCTACACCTTCTGCCGGCCATCCACCACCCACAGCAGCGGCAGATGGCGGTCACACTGCAGGTGGGAGTCAGCGGAGATGGCGAAAGGTGTACTGGTGGTGGTTGGGAGTAGAGATTGCAATCCCGGGATCGGGAACCCGGGATCCCGGCGGGATTTTAATCCCGATCCCGATCCCGAAATTCCGCCAATCCCGGGATCCCGAAAAAAAAAATCAGTTTTTCACCATAAAAAGAATGTAGCCGCTGCACGAGTCTTGTTTACAATGAGTGCTGCGTGACAATAAAGCAGAGAAACAATTTAGCTGGCACCCCGTATCGGCCGTCCACAATCGACCGTGTTGGTAGCTCCCGGGTATCACCCACAGCGGTTAAACCGCTCAAATGTGTACGAAAAAGGGTCACGAACGCCAACAAAAAAATTGCAGCATCAGTGCTGCAACATCTTTATCAGGATCACGGATCGTTCAGCGATTCTGACTTGTCCGTGCGTGGCCGGAACAAAAGAGGTCATCAAGACAGTCTTTGAGCTCGTGTCGCAGAAAGATGTCACAGATGTCACGCAAGTGACGGCAGAGCTCACTGATCACTGATTCAAACGTTGAAGACGGTAGAGTGGAGCTCTCCCAGTCAGTGACTCTGCCCTCAAAGCGACTTTGGAGCAAAGTCTGAGAGACATTAGTGATGAAGGTAGAACCGGAAGGAGGTGAAGTGGCCAAGCGACGTCTTGAAAACATTGTGAAATAGGGAGCTGCCAAATTTGGCGTACACTGGTCGCGAGTTTTAAAATAGACAGACAATAAAATACCAGCAATGGCTTAACACTGTCGCGCTAAATACGAGTAGCGTAGACGAAGAGTGAGTGAGGCGTGGATGTGCTGGAACGGCCGTCTTAATGATGAGATGAGGTAGTAAACGCACTGGTCGACGCACAGTTTTATAAAGGCCAATTGGGAATAAATGCTAATCAAATCGAAACGTTTCCTTCGCAAATTCAATAGTTTTTAATGCAAATAACATGGTCTAAGGATGGCTTTTGGTTGCCTCTTTGTTTGTGGTAAGCTAAAAGACGCAAAATATGTCAGTAGGAAATTATTCTTACGATCTTTAGTGACTAGACCGGGATCCCGGGATCCCGGGATCCCGAAATAAAAACTTTCGGGATCCCGGGATTGGCAAAACGTTCCGTGATTGCAATCTCTAGTTGGGAGGGGAGGATGGGTAGCTTGAAACGGAAGATGTAAAAATGGTACTTTTATCGATCTGATCGATTGATTCATTCAAATCTCCGTGATCGACTCCGTGATCGATTCATGATAGTGTTGCAATTAGGTCGAGGTCGGCTGTACATAAAATATGAGGTGATTGAAATCTGATGAACATCTTTGTCTCATAGCCGATAATGGGAAGACTTTCCCCGGTCATGGTCTCGGATGCATTTGTCTAATGCTAAAACATATTGCTGAAAGTTGCGCCTTGGATCTGACGTCCATATGCTAACAAGGGGTTAACAATATTCATGTTAGAACTTTGACTATCGGCAGCGCGACTTGCAAGACACCATCATCATCTACTCAGCAGTTCACCACCATCTCCCTCCAACAGGTCTACCTGGCCGAGATCCTCAAGTCGCTGATGCGCAGCGAGCGCAACCAGCAAGTCATGTGTGACGCCGGTTTCCCGTGCGAGCTTCTCTCGACGTGTCGTCTGGCACTGGAGGATGAGGACCATCTGCTGCACCCGGCCATACAGTATATGCTGGAGAGACTGGCGGCGCAGACGCTGGAGCCGCGCGATCTCAGGTAAAGGGAGGAGGTTAACCGCAGCTTGTTTGAAATAGACAAAACACTATTCGTTAGAATTGTGTTTTTCTATTGCAGGGATAAGGTAGAAAATGGGAAAAGAGGGAGCCGAGGGATAGATCGAACAAAGGGAATATTCAGTGATGGAAGGGGTAGATGTTTTACGATAGGGATTAAAATAGGAAGAGCAAATAAAGGGATAAATGGCGGTAAGTGCAACTTCTAACCGATTTTTGCCAATTTTTTCATTATCATGCACATATACTTCTTACATTACGATAGTTCGGTGCGTAAATTAAAGCTTAGGTACGTTTTGATCACGCGCAAGGCTCTAAGTATTTGATCACGCGTTCTTCGCTCGACATTTTATTTGTCTTCTTTCTGACTAGCACGCGCTCACTTTTCAGATCGTTCCTGCGCCTCGGTAACCCGCTGATGTGTGCTCCCGTGGACGAGCCACCGACTCCCGACTCGGGCGGCCCCGTGTCACTGACTCGAGTCAAAACACTCGTCTCCATGACAACGCCGCGCGACTGTCGACACGGAGGTACGACGCGCGTGTTGTCATGACAACGGGTCGATGGTTTCATTTCGTTTGAGGGTCTTGGCTTTCAACTTTTTTTTTGTGAGCGTTTTTAGACATAAAGACCAATGAATAGGAAGGGCTAATTTTGTGAAACAGAATGGTGCTTGCGCTTTGAATTTTCTAATAACAAATAGTCCCAGACTTTGGGAGCTAAGAGAGGCCGGGACACATCCAATATTCCGTTACTCGCAAATCGTCGTGATCCAAAATCTTTAAATGTAACAGCTAACCAAGTCGTTATAGCGAGACATAGACAAACGAGATATAACGTTCCATGCACGTTATATCTCGAACTGACGCCGTGGCTCCCTTCGATAACCTCAGCGGGTGTGTCTTGTTTCAGGCGCGGCGATTCTGCCGCCGTTTGTGGAGTTTGACATGTCGGTGGAGGGTTTCGGCTGCCTGTTTCTGCCCTCGCTGGCGCCGCAGTGTCTCAGTGTCGGAGATACATCGGTACTGGGTGAGTTCTCCAGGGCTCAATCTTATAAACGCCGTGTAATGGATATGGCAGCACTGGCTGAAGTTCAGCTGCAGAAAACGGTCATCAAATGCAACATGGTTTTCACGCATTTCAGTCAATCGTATTTTGATGATCCAAAGAATCATTTCGTTAACTCGTATAACCGTTTGTCGGCACTGGTATCACTGTAATTGTTACCAAATGCCGTGAATAGAATAGTACGGCATTTTTTAAGTTTGGGCCCTGGGGAGGGTTGCTGAGTGGCTTAGTGGCAGTCGGATTAGAACCTGTGGGCCGCTTTGTTGGGATATTGTTTGCACAAACGAAAGCTTGGTAAAACAGTGCGATAAATAGACTATGCTAAGCACCCATGAAAAAATGTTTGTCCGGATTTTCTTGTCATATCTCGTCGAGAGAATGTCTCCCGCGATATAGGTCTTGCACAACGCTAGGTACGACGATTTAATATCTGATTGGTCGACGAGAACCAATCAGGGGCCGCCGATGATGGTGACGTCGTACATTGAATTAGAGATGCTAATCATGTAAGGCAAATCCAAGCTCATCTGAATTTAGTGAATCCCGTTAGTGAAGCCCATTAGTGAGTCCAAGCTTTCATCGAACTGAGTAGGCTGTCGATATCGTGGCTTAGGATAATCTGAGCCTATGAACGTTCTCGGCCCTTCTAAGCATTGCACCAAAGCTGTGGATCTATCTCATCAGTACAGGAGTTGCTTCGATGGCGCTTTCTTTGATGAGTTTGGGCCAGTTTGAGTTTGATTGAATCTGTGTTCATCATCACCAATAACCCTCAGAATTGCATCTAAGATATTCAATGACGTGTAACCAGAACAATGACGTTTATCAGGGCTTCTTGATACCGATATGGGCACATCGTGGGCATGCAGCCCGAGGCAGTTGCCATTCGCGCGTCGAGGGACCAACATGGTCCTGTCCGATGCCAAGTAGTACTTGCGAAGAGTGCCTTCAGACTTTACTAGCTGGTGAATTAGGAGAATCGCAATTGTCCGAGACAATAATCAAGAAGTCATCCCCAGTGGTTGACCATTCAAAGTCACGCCAATATCTGAAGAAAAGGGACCAAGTGACATGACTGTGTCCGGCTACCTGCATTTGAGTTTACTAACTACATACGAGTATAATGTGCGGCGGCAGAAGCCGATGACTGGTAAAACAGTCTGTCTGTGGCGGTGAAGATAGGACGCCGGGCGCCGATTGGTTGGCTGTGAATGTGGCATAATGTGGTGCAATGCGACAGTTGCAGCGGAAGGTGGTGATCGTGGCGCGGGGCGGGTCTTGTGTGGGCACAGGGCAGTGCAGTCGCTCATTTGCCCGGTGGCTTGGGTTGAGCGGATAGTTGTCATGTGAGGCTCTGTGCTTCTTTTAGAGTGCTTAGCCCGCTGTGTGATCCCTTATCAATAGGCTGATCGCTGACATACTTGGTGAGTGAGTCATGCATTTAAACACCGCCACAGCTGCAAGTCTGCTTGACGCTGCGATTGAATAGAGCCGTCCCGTTTTGACGGACGTTCGGTGGTCTTCGTTCAATTCCAGGCGGAATCGGCACTGGTGACCGCGTGTTCCCGCCGGCCACCGGCCTGACCTACTCGACATGGTTCAACGTGGAGCGGTACTCCAACTCGCGGGCCGACCCGCACTGTGTCCGGCTGCTGACACTGGTGAGAGCGGGCAGAGGGAGGGATGTGAATAGGAAGAGAGGAGGGGATTAGGGAGAAGGAGGGGAACATGTAGAGGTTCTTACTTATAGGATAGGGATTGGAAAAAAACGTTTTGATAGTTTCGTTTTAATCACATCCAGCATATATTATGTACAGTTCCAAAAAAAAAAAAAAAAATGTCACAAAATTTTGAAGAACAAATAAGCTATAATTAAGCTACAGCAGGCGCAGGTTTTATATACGTAAAATATATTTTCGATATTCATGCTGACACTGATAGGTCGTTCCTGTTCATTCACGCTCCCAAATTTGCTGTCATATTTAGCCCAATGGCTGGTCGTTCCCGCCTATTCCCGCTTTATGATTGGCTGATTCCTTACACTTTCTCCCCTGATTGGTCGTTCATTTCGACCCTGACCTATGATTGTCCTTTTAAGCCTCACACTCTTCTCTGATTGGTCAAGTCAACCACCCTCGCCCTATGATTGGCCGTCTAACCCCCATTCTCTCCTGTGATTGGTCAAGTCCGCCACCCTCATCCTATGATTGGCCGTGTAACTCCCATTCTCTCCTCTGATTGGCCAGGTGCGCCACCCTCACCCTATGATTGGCCGTCTAACCCCCATTCTCTCCTGTGATTGGCCAGGTGCGCCACCCGCACGGCCGCGATCAGCAGCTGATTTGTCTTACCGTCGTCCTCTCGGCGAGAGACAAGGCGCTCATCATATCAACACGCGAGACGGAGATGCCGCATCATGGTATGTGACTGGGGGGGGGGGTGCAGGGAAAGTGAGAGAGAAGAGAGCAGGGAGAGAGGGCTGAAAGAAGACACAATGGGTAGGTGCATCATGAGTTTATAGGATTTATCAATTCAAACTGATTTTCACTTCATTCTCTGTATATGACTCGTCAATTACCACACTACATTTATTAGGCTATAGTTTTGACATCACTTAGCTTACGATTCGTATACAGCAGTAATCACACTATATTTGTATTCCGTGAATCATCACCATTTAAATGACGTCACTTATCGCACCACACTCAGTGGCGCCACTTGTCGTATCACTCATATTTCATCATCACCCCCACAGGCGCCTACGACTGGGAGCCCGACTGTCGCGGCGACACCAGTCTGCGCGTCTGGTGCCCGGACCTGCTGGAGGAGAACCAATGGCACCACCTGCTGGTGACACTCAACAGAGCCGTGCTCAAACACTCTGCCTGCGCCGTCTACATCGACGGAAAACAGGTGGCCAATCAGAAGGTACGACAGAGGAAAAGAGAGACAATGAGAGACCTGGGAGGATTTGAGAACGAATCACAGGCCGGTTTAGAATAGTTGAAGTAACAGCTGAGCGTTGTAGAGAAGCTAGTTATGAAAATTAGGCTAGGTTATGAATTGACGTGAAGGTGCCCGAAAAATGCTGCTCTATCCTGGTACTCGTCTATGGATGACGGGAGAATGTCTATCTGACGCGGCTAGGCTTTGAAAATTAATATTTAGCCAAGGAAATTTTGCGATATAGGACCAATAAGCTTCATGGCTGCTTGCTATAACCAGCATTTGTACAAACCAACGCTGGCGGCCGTGTGCCCTAACTATGACGCCCTCAGTAGTCAGTAACTTTATTTATATTCTGTTCCTCGACAGCTTCACTACGTCAGTCAGAACCCGGGCGGCGGCGCTGCCAACCTGACCTCCAGCGCGGCGGTGTACGGCTTTATCGGCACCCCTCCGCAGTGGCGGCGACACTCCAAGCTGGTGTGGAAACAGGGCGCCTGTCTGCTGGTGGAGGAGGCCCTGCCGCCGGCCGTGGTGGGCACCGTGTACCGGCTCGGTCCCAACTACCTGGGCACGCTGCAGGCGCCATTCATCAACGGTATGTGCGACGCTGTGGGTTTTGTGTGATTGAATTTGAGTCTGTGTGTGTATGTGTGTGTTTTATGTGTGTTGGGGGGGGGGGGGGGGGCTATTTGATATCGAGTCCGTATTTGTTCGACAATTCCTTTCTTACTAGCCTTCGGATGAAATTGTGATTATAAAGATAGCGGTTTTTGTAATGTACAGCCATGGGATTAAACCGTATTGTTGGGAAATACCAATCACGTTATTAAATCGCCCACCCACACTTACCGTTATCGCAGTAACAAAGATGGCGGCTGAACACCTATAGGCTATAATGCCGATTGACTATCGCCGCGACCGTTCAGTCACTATCGCGCCTTGGTCTAAACCAGTTGTGCCACAGCGAAAGGGCCATGCTCGAGAAAGGCCGTCGCATTTGCCTGGCGGTAGTGTTCGTTGGATGTATTTTACTGCGCCACTTAAATAAACTCATTAGTCGTTCGTATTTTATCGTCGGCCGAACGCGGTTAGTGGCTGGTTAAATAAGCTAACTTAAATGCTAGACACTGGAAGGTTGAGCTCGCTGATACAACATTCCCTTTGTTGTTGGTCGTAAATGAGATTTTGTGTTAGTTCACCAAATATTTCAAGGGTTATGACCTTTCCTCTTCTCCCCCCTCCTCCCCCCCAGGGGAGTGCTGCTCGGCCCTGATTCCCGAGGAGCGTGTGATGCTCGGACTGAACGCAGTTGCCACCAGTCAGCTAACACTGGCCAAGATCCGCAAAGTGTACAGCAAGGCAGACAACAGGAGCATCGCCAAGCAGGTGCGGCTGGTGCCCCGGTCAGCGACTAGGAGCCAGGGGTTCATGGGGTGGGGGTGACCACTCGAGGGTCAGGGTGCCGCAATTTGGCAGTAGGGGTACTCAATGCTATGTTGTCGGCCGCTCTATGAACTTGTAGATCAGGGTTGTGTCATGTTACGATACAGTTATGGTTTCATGACATGCTATGTATTTATTGGTTGGGTATGTTCAAAGTAAGTGATTTGGTATAGTTGCCGTGAATGTTGTAAGACGGGAGCCGTCTCTGTATACAGTCCTTTAGATTAATGTTATATTCTATAGCTATTTTCCTATAATGCACCGAAGTGTCAGTTATGTAACTTTATGCTGAATATGAATGCTTAAAGATCTAGCGAAACATTTCATTGTAAACTAAGTCGTAAATCAAAGAAAACCAGGGTGATCTGTGAAGCCAAACACGACTAAGGTATTCCCTAAGACTTGACCCCTCCTAATTCTGTTCTCAGCTGGGTATGTCATCGCACGAGAACGCCACCCCGATCCGCATTCTACACAACGCCGGGGGGCACCTGAGCGGGCCGGCCCGAACTCTGGGCGGAGTCGTGATCGGGTGAGTGAGTGAGTGAGAGTGAGTGAGTGAGTGAGTGAGTGAGTGAGTGAGTGAGTGAATGAGTGAGTGAATGAGTGAGTGAGTGAGTGAGTGAGTGAGTGAGTGAGTGAGTGAGTGAGTGAGTGAGTGAGTGAGTGAGTGAGTGTGTGGGTGAGTGACAATAGCAACTTGTGATATAAACGTAGCCATGCTTTGACTACCGTTGGCTTGTTGGATGGAAGGAGCGCGTTAGAGCTGCTACTTCGGTACAATTACTTTACGCTCAAACGTTTTAGAAGCGACCTTATCAGCCACGTCCTGAGCACTTCGAACTTATGGCCCTCTTAGCAATGCACAATGGAAGCTCTTCAAGCTAGTAACTCATCATTTCGTAACCGGCTAAGTATCACACCAAAAGCGCAGATCACGTTCATACACTTGAGTTTGCCATCGCGGATATTCTGATAGGTGACTCACATACTATGTGATTGTAGATGGCGCATCAAGCAGTTCCCTTCCACCAGGAACACCGAACTGGGACGGTAAGTCGGCGTAGATGGCCGAGAAAATTTGGACCGACAGAACTAGACAGCTTTCGTTTCGTTTTGTGCTCTAATAGATTCCATCTTTGAGTACTTTGTCGGGTGCAAAAGCTGTGTCTTGTGAACCAGCCGATAAAATTCATAAGTCTGTCTGCTGTAACATGATGGATGGCTTAAAGATGCTAGTTTGCGTCAAATACAGTATGACAGTTTTATTCTTTCCATTACTGGCTTTGGCTTCAACAGGTCAAATAACTCACGATGACCTGTCATGATAGATCTGTTGATAAGGGTACTTCTTACCTTGTCATTCAAGGTAAGCCAAGCGAATCCTTTGCTTAGAGTTCCTGCACAGTCGTGGCGCATTCATGGCGCTTTCTGTTCATTAGGTTGATAGGCAAGATGCATCGCAACGTCTCGACAGGAGACAATTTTACGAGCGCTTCTATCTGATTCAGCTCATACCCAGCAAACGCAAGCAGTGGCATACTAGTCTGATGATTCATAAAGGGCCCGGGCTCAAGTTACTAAGTTCAGCCATTCGTGCCTTTTGATTGTCTGATAGTCCCTCACGGCTTTGAAGCCTCAGTTCTAGTGGCATACTTGGCGCTTAGGGCTAGGCTTGCTCACCGTACGATAGCATGTAGCTTAGTCGCAGTACTTGTGCGCATTTCAAGCTCGCGGGGTGTTGAGCTGTGACTTACATGTTGATCGTCGTCCTTTTCTTGCAACATTTCGGCAAAAGTTCTACCAAAGTTCTTGGTCTATGAATTACCTGACCCGACCTGATGTATCTTGACCCAACGTGACCTAGTATCCATATCAACCTGATACTTATCTGCTATCAAAATTCTTAGCATGAACCACTTACATTAGACTTTCACCAAGGCGATAAAGCACACCAGCCCACTGACTCACATCAACTCTCATCCCTGATCCCAGCTATCATTGCAAGTTGCAACCCTGACCAATGACGCCCAAAAGGCCACAGATTATCATCATCATTCTTAATTCTCGCCTATGTTTCTGCTCTCTGTTGTAATCTCTCCCTTACTCTAATGGGCGCCACATAGCCTCGTTGCTGGTGCGCCCTAGAACAGCAAATCATCATCACATCTCCCTTACCTCTAACCCCCTTCCTCACACCCTGTCACTCTGCCCCCTTCTGACACTCTGTCTCCCCCTATTTCCGCAGATACCTGGGTGTTCGGGTGTTCTGCGCCCGACCAGTGGCGCGTATGGTGGAGAACGTGGGCAGCACAAGTCTGGTGCTCGGACTGATCGCCATGGCGGCTGACGTGGAGGGGCTGTACGCCGGAGTCAAGGCGCTCACTTGTGTGGTCAAGACCAACAAAGCTGGTGAGTAGCGAAGGAAGAGGAGGATAGGAGGATGTAATGGTGGATTGAGCATGATTGGCTGGGTGTGTGTCTCGGTTAGAGTGGCTCTTCAGGCTAGTGGCATTGGAGGTGTTATTGGCGACAGGCCGCTGGCCAGCCGCTCGACTGGCCCTCGAAGGGGAAACAGGGCGCGGCTGATAATGGTGATAGATGACGTTATAGATGACGCTGGTGGTAACCCTGGGGCGTCCGATGCAGATCTTGTTCAGCAGTCGTGCAATATTGGATATGGTGGTACAAATTGGTGTAATGTTCGTGGAAACACGAATTATCGCGTAAATTACAAAGCACATTGGAATGCAATCAAGACAACAATGACCTAGTAATGTCAGAAGGCATGCGGGAGAAGTTTTAGTAGGATAAGGACTAGGGAGTGTAGTAAGTTTTTGCCATTTCATATTTTGTGTGTGTGTGTGTAGACCGAGTGGTGTTGCCGTTTTTGTTAATTCTTGTGTACCTCATAATCAAATGTGAGCTTGATAGGCAAATCAAGTTTTATGTCCCGGTCCCATGAGTATATCCGTTGCCTTATGCGTGGCGACCCATTTTTATTAAGTGCTTTGTCTAACTGATTTCTTTTATTTGAGTGGTAGTGCCAACTGGCCACGTAAAGTCATGCGATCGTAAGTCCTGCTTGAACGAACAATCATTTGCAAGTTGATTTCGCACGTCGTTGGGCTAGTATGCGATATTAAAGGAATGATAGGGTGGGCTAGCTTTAGCATTTTTTTTCTTGTAGTGTTAGGCTCTCTCGGTCTAAATAGATCTTTGTGTAGCCAGAAGAGTGAGCCTATCGACCGATTGGCCTGCGGTCTTTTTTGTTGGGTAGCTCCATCCCTGCTACTTTTTTCTTTTGGGTTAGAGCCTTTCGGTCTAACGTGACCATTTCAGGGCCGGGAGGATGATAGGAATTAGGGGAGACATTGGTCTGGGCAGACACCCTAGAGAGTCGCCGGGGCTGAGCCCATCCGAAAGGACAGGCTGACCAGCCCCCCCCCCCTAAGCACTCTCTGCACCCGGCTACGGGGTGCGCTCCCTCGGGAGCAGCGGTACCGCTCCAAGGAGCAGCCCGCATGAGATAAAGGTGCCTGTCCAGCCCGGAATGGGGGTTGCGGCGTGGAGGAGAAGGATTTCTGATGTATCCTGAGGATGGAAGCGATGGAACGGAGGATCCCTGCTACCCCGTAATTGACTACTCTTGATGCAGATAGGTGACCTTCGTGGCACGTGCCACGTGAAAAGTCGAGGCTGTTCGAGCCATTTTGCAGAAGTGGCGATTTTGAGAGGCCTCTATCTCAGCAGCTGCTTGGGCAATTGATATTCAGATTTTTTGTAGGACAGTCACATCCCTTCCACCAAACATTGGCTACCCTTGATCTATGTGGGTAGCCTCCACTGCACGTGCAAAATGCAAAAAGAAGAGGTGTCAAATTTGTTCCCATTTCAATAACTCGGTAAGTACTGAGGCGATTTCACGGAAACTTGGCATACAGGTAGGCACCCACCAGGAAATGCTTTGCCATGTGTTACGGTTAGGGTGCTGCTGCACGTGCGCACGTGCAGGGGGTGCCTCCAGATCTCGAGAACGGCGGGGCCGATTGCCCTCAAATTCGATACACGGTTAGGGACCGGTTACTATGGTGCCGTGTACAAGTGGACCCCGTTTGCACGTGCGCACGTGCAGGGTGCCGCCGCTTCCAGATCTCGAGAACGACTGGGCCGATTGCGCTCAAATTTGGCACATCGCTAGAGACCGGTTAGTAGGGTGCCGTGCACTAGTCAGTTGGAAGCACCCCCTCGCAACTCTGCACGTGCAAGGCTCACCCTCTCGCTCGCTCGTTTGTCGCCCCAAAAGGCGTTTTAAACCCGCGCCCTGCTGGGGGTCCTGGATTTCCACGCCCTGCTGGGGGGGGGGGGGGGTGTGTTTGAACACCCCCCCTTGTAACTCGGCTCCTGGGCCACGTAGCGATACGCGGAAGGCGGCGTTCGAAAGAGCGTCAAAAATAATGACGAAATCACTTCGGTCAATTTTTTGGTCAGGTCAAAGGTCAGGTCACCAGAGGTCATTGAAGGCAAAATTTCGCCGATTCCCAGGTCGAATGTCGAAAATTTCCAAGAAGCCAACGCATAACTCGGGAACCAATAGAGCTACAGCGCCGCGGAAAAGCGCATTCGATAGCCCTATTAACACCCTTTCTGAGTAATTCTCTCAGATTTGACCTAACGTCAACGGTTTTGCCTGCAGGGGGCAAAAACTGCAAAAATAGCCGATTTTTTCGAAAACAGTTTTTCTGCAATAACTTTTGACCCAAGCCTTGTACGAGCTTACTTTTACCGGCATCGTGTTCCTCTCGTCAAGACGCATCGAATGAACTATGACTTGACCTTGAAAGGTCAACTTGAAAATTTGACCTCAGGTCAAGGTCATGACCTGACCGGAAAGGGTCATGTTGCATATCAGTCGATCCGTATCGTCGAGCTGAACACATCTAAGGCGTTTTCAGCGCTCTAGCATGCCTCTATCAAAAGTTATTTGCGAAAAACTGTTATATACCTACCATTCGTGACCTAAGATGACCTCAGGGCATAAACAAGGGTCACGGACACCATTTTCAAGTTCAGTGTGTCTAAACCACTTGTAATTCGGTGTTTGGGAGTGTTTATAATGTCTTTCATCCAAAAGAGGCGCATTTCAATTTTCTCCCATTGACTTATAATGGGGAGGTCGCAAAATTGACCTGACCTTAGGTCATCGATATCAAAATTCTGAGATATACATTTTGTACATGCTATTGCTCTTAGCAATCGCTGAAAGTTTCAAAGCGATCGGTCACTCGGTGTAGCTATGACAGACATTGAAAGTTTTTATGAGGTGAGGTCACTTCAAGTGACCTGGTGACCTGACCTTCAATGACCTTGGTCTGAAATTTTCACAACATGTGTAGAATTGATGTATGATAAGGTGTACCAAAAACGGCGGCGCTCCGCGCCGCCGTTTTTGAGATATTCGCGAAAAACCACAAGGGGGGTGTTCAAACACCCCCCCCAGCAGGGCGCGGGTTAATGGTGTATGTATATGATATGCGATGGGGGCTCAAGAGACCGTTACAGGAATACAGGGCGCATTGGTCATGCTAGA